AAAAATCCAAAGTCTGCAAGAGTTCAAAATGAGCATCGCCGAAGCTCTTCTTGAAGGAAAAATAGACCAACAAAAAGAGGCAGACCTTCTACCAGCTTTACTGATGCTGAGTTTGCTACAAAAGGAGAAGAGGTCCTGCCACCAGAAGTCTCCCTGGAAGAGATACCCGTTTGGATGGTCTTCCCCATTACCCTGAGGTCACAAACACAGGAAGATGCAAAAATGTCTATTGCAAGAGTGCACCAGTATTTTTCTGCAGCAAATGCAAAGTTCATCTTTGTATCACAATAGAAAAAAATTGTTTTGTTCTATTTCACACTAAAATGATAAACAAAAAATTTTGTATTATATTTTATAAATAAAATAAGTTTTCAGTTTGTTTTTTTATTTAATAATAGAATAACATGAAAAATAATATTGAAATGAAGGTGCATTTTTTATTCTTGTATTATAAATCCATGGACAAATGTGACAATTTGGGTACATTTAAAAAACATTGCAAACTTTATATATTTTTAATATATTTTGGTGGTTACATATATTGAAAACTATGAAAGTAAAGAAAACAAACAAACAAAAAATTTTCTTCCTGAAATTAAGAATTCAGGCGTTATAGGGTTACGTTTTTCCCATAGAACTGTCCTTGTAAGCTGTGTTCAATATCACAACAGATTCTGCAACATTTTTCCCAGGTAGGAAATATAATTTCACAGCCTCACGTTGTTCTCTCAAATTGGTCATCACACAAAAAAAAGAAGTTCAAATGAAACTGCTTTTATTAAAAAATTCTGTGACCAGAGAGAACCTTCCTAGGCAATGCCACTGGGTGCACTAGTTGCTCAATGTCGCCTAACAGGTAGAATTTTTTCCATTGATTTGGTGTTTTGGGTTTTTTTTTCAGGGGTACCCCCATACTTTAATCTTGCATGAAAACCCAAAACCAGATCACACCAAACCAAACAACCAACCAAGCAAGCAAAAACCAAAACTCACCACCAGTGAGTTGATCTCGACTCATAGTGATCCTATAGGAAGGACAGAGCAGAACTGCCTCTGTGAGTTTCTGAGGCTGTAAATCTTTATGGAGCAGGCCTGGTGGCATAGTGGTTAAACACTAGGCTGCTAACCACAGGTTAGCAGTTCGAAACCATTACCTGCTCTCTCTGTGGGAGAAAGACAAGGCTTTCCACGCCTGAAAAGAGTGACAGCCTCAGGAAGCCCCCGAGGCAGTAGTTCTATCCTGTCCTGGAGGGTCATCATGAGTCAGAACTGACTCAACAGCAATAAGTAAGAAATCTTTATGGAGTGGCTGGTGGTTTTGAACTGCTGACCTTCTGGTTTGCAGCTCAAAGCTTGTAATTCACTACTCCATGACTGTTCCTTCTTGTATGAAGAGAAGGATGAGTGTATGAAGTTCCATCTTAAACAATGTGGATATACCCGAAGAAGAATGCATGAAGGCATCTAAGAAGTTAGGGCAGATTTATCCGAATGGCTTCAATACACACCTTATGAAGAAGTGGGATGATTTTATTCTGATATGATAACTAAGTTTACAGATTCAGGGAAGATAAATTTTACTAATGTAGTCCAGTATTGTGGGGGGAGGTCAGATGCACAGGCATTCCCTCCCCCGAGGGCAATCAGTTGACAGACTGCTGTCTCATCCCACCACAGGGGTGCCCCACCCCTGGGGACAATGGACAGGCTCCTGTAGGCGGAGTTTTCACCCTACTGATAATGGTTCCTATGGAGACCCAGATATCACCCCCTAGACTACCACTCCCTCATTGCTGTGTAACCTATAGTGCAGCCCCTCCCTGTGACATATGTCTCTACCGGTAATTAGTGGGCTGGCATGCCCCCAAAAGGTATATAAGCGTGGGTCAGCAATATAGAGCTCTCTGACTCTCTGATCTCTCCTTGCTGCTCACTCCCTTCTCTCCCCCCTCTCCTCTCCAGTCCTCTCTCCCTTGTTCCCTTGTCCTCCTCCCCTTCCCCCTCTCTCCACATGGACCACCAAGCTGGGCTGAGATGAGCAATGCTACCATGTAATGTGTCTGACTGAATCATTGTAATATCTCTTGTACCTCTCATGCTCTCGATATAGCTCAACCGTACAATTGTGCATTACTGAACCCGTGGGTAGTATTAATAGTAGCAGCGGGTGGGGCCTGGCCCCTCACCCCTCCTCAACATTTTAATTTAATACTACACAGTATGATTCCATAATATAACATATCATTTTTCAATGATGAAAGTGCTTTATGTATATCCCTAACTTTAATTATCATAAACTGCACAACAGAATGCTCTTTAGTGTCCCCGAAAGATTTAAAAAACCCTAGCATACAATGTTTCAAGAAAGACATGATTAATTATCCTTATTATGTACTATGTATGCAAGCATATATCATCCAGCAGCAAAAGTGTGAAGAAATTATTGAAGAATTAAAAAAAAAAATTATTGAAGAATTTATACAATAGAGAAATGTTTCTAATTATAACATGCTAGAGATAAAGGATTTATCTAAAAATAGAGTAATTAGTTGTAGTATTCATTAAATTTTCTGTCATGACATTCTTTTGTTTTTATAATTACAGCATTTATTATGAAACAAACATCAAAATCGAAGTGTGAATCATTTAATACAAAATTGGTCAAAGTCAAATTGTGTGTGGCGATCATAGGATTTTCTAGTGTGTGCTGAACTAAGCATATGGCTCACGGTCTTTGTTGCAGAGTATGTGGAATATTCTTTTTTCCCCCCAACCTCATCTTTTTGATTTAAAAAAAAAATCATTTTATTGGGGGCTCATACAACTCTTATCACAATCCATCCATCCATCGTGTCAAGCACATTTGTTGTCATCATTCTTAAAACATATGCTTTCTACTTGAGCCCTTGATATCAGCTCCTAATTTTCCCCCGTCCCTCCCAAATCCCCCCTCCCTCATGAACCCTTGATAATTTAGAAATTATTATTGTTTTGTCATATCTTACACTGTCCAATGTCTCCTTTCACCCACTTTTCTGTTGTCCATCCCCCAGGGAGGAGGTTATATGTAGATCCTTGTAATTGGTTCCCCGTTTCTACCCCACCCTCCCTACGTCCTCCCGTATCACTACTCTCACCACTGGTTCATCTGCCCTGGACTCCCTGTTTCTAGTTCCTATCTGTACCACTGTACACTCTCTGGTCTAGCTGGATTTGTAAGGTAGAATTAGGATCATGATAGTGAGGGGGTGGAGGGAGGAAGCATTTAGGAAATAGAGGAAAGTTTTATTTCATCATTGCTACCCTGCACCCTGATTGGCTCATCTCCTCCCCGCAGAATATTCTTTTTGTAGAAAATGATAGTAAAAATTTTGGTACCCTGCAGTCACTAAAAATGTTACAGTCCAATTTGTCTCAGTCTGCTGAATTGGCAGGTCACTTTGTATTCAATTGCTAATAATATAGTTTCATTGAAAAACAGTTTTGCATTTAAAAATACTATGCTAAGTGAGAGAAGCCAGATATATAGATAGCTATTTCTCTCTCTTGCTCTCTCACACACGTATATACAAAGAGGCTTCAAAAAGTTTATGGAGAAATGCCGTTATCTTTTAATTCCATTTTCTGTGAATTTTTGGAAGGCTCTTCCTAGTACACAACCCATAAATCCTGTCTAAGTGTGTGAGTAAGCAGAGGAAGGAGCAACACAGATCATCGTCACTTAGGTCTAAGGGCCTTACTCTAGCCCTGCTTGTACACCAATGTTCTTTGCTGCTCTGTTCATGAGAGTCAAACCGTACAAGTCACCCAAATGTCCATCAAGAGATGACTAAATAAACAAACTGTGGTACATACGCAAAATCAAATCTTATTTGGCCATAAAACGTTCTTATATAAGCTAAACACTAATGAACCTGGAAAATATTATGCTAAGTGAATGAAGCCAGAGATAAAATGGCAATTATAAGGACAAACTTATATGATACACAAATTCAGACAATAGAATAAAGGTTACCAGAGACTGGGGTTAGGGAAGAGTTGGGGGTTAGTTATTGTTTATTAGTAGAGAGTTTCTGTTTGGGATAGTACAAAAGTTCTGAAGAGACATAGGAGTGATGTTTGTATAATACTGTGAATGTCTTTAGTGACATGAGTCAAACTCTTAAAAATGATTAAAATGGAAAACTTTCGTGTGTATTTTACCACACTTACAGACATTAAAAACTGTAACCTAAACACAAATAGGTATGTGCTTATCATTTTCCCAAGAATTAAAAGCCAGAAATAAAAATTGTTTTAATGGACGGAGCATCAGGATGTACTCCGGTCTCTCAGTTCTACAGCTCTAAGAAGGGTAACTACAGACTCGTTCGTCATTAGCAAAACTTGGCTTTCCACTTGGAGGGAGCAGAAACCTGACTCAGCTTATTACAGTGAGAGCCTGCACTCAGGATAATGATGGCTCTGTCAAGCGACAGCATCTAGCAGGCAGCATTTGAAATTTCACAGAGTCATCATCAGGTGGGATAGGCGCCGTGAGTGCTGCACCTGAAAAGGCTCACTACTAATGCCATACCCACGGGGCTTCTGCTGCAATGCTAAAGGGGAAGGAGCGAAAGAAAACGCATTTTTCTCAATGGATGCAAAATGAATACGTATAAAAAACAAAACAAAAAAGGACCCTAACGATCAGTTCGAATACCCAGGGATAACCACTGTTTAACATTCAGGAATAGAATCTTAAAAACTTTTTTTCTGAAACCATCTTTTCCACTTAAGTGAAATCTTGGGTCTTACTCAGAAATCCTTCATTTTACTGCTCATAGAATTAGGTACTCATTTGAATCACTATAAACAGGTTAAACTATCCCTTAAGATGGCAGAAATTCTGTCAGGGATTATTTGACAATCAGGGATATGGAGAATGTCTTTCAAAGTCACCATCTTAAGCACTAGAGGAAAAGAAAATGGAAAACGTTAGTAATTTCCATTAAAGTTACCTGTTCTGAAAGTCAGCAACCATGTCCCGCCGCTCGGAGATCTTGGATGAACCATCAAGCCTCATGTAGGTATGCTTCCTATAAACCATATATTCCTGCCAATCAGAATGAAATCATGTAACACATTTACTAAGGAAGAGCTACAGATTACTGCATTATAATTCTCACAAGCAACCACCCACTCACTACCTCATCTCATACTCAGCTAAATCATTAAATCTCAAAATGGGGACAACGTTATATCAAAAGTACAGTAATTTAAGGAAGTGGACAATGGTTATGGTTGAACAATGGGAACAAAATTACCGCCGCTAACATACGTGTAAAGAATGAAATGGCAAGTGTTTTGTTACACATATATTTAAAACACATACATGTACAGAATTCATAAATGAGTTTATTGCCAGTGTATTAAAACGGAGGGTAGCCTGAAGATTCCCACCACCCCTGTGGCTCAATTTTCAGCCAAACAATAGACAGGGGAATAACAACACTATTGATGTGTGCACTCTTTGGAATAATTGACCATTTGGGATCAAGAGGCAGCATTTCCCCAAAGACAAAATTCACAAGGATTAGAAGAGGAGGATTGGAGACTTGAGGGGAGGTGGGATGGGTGATGAAGGAATTATAATAAATGAGATGAAAAAGCATGTGTATGATTCACTGACTGTAAAACTGATGATCTGTTTTGTGAACCTTCACCCAATTCACAATAACAAGCTTAAAGAAAAATAGAATGGAGAAGAAATTTTTGAAGATACAACAGAGAGAACCCTCTATATTTAGAAGTTGCAATTCCTTTTACAGATATTGTCCAAACGAGCACTGAGCACTTGTTTCCTTTTCTTTAGCCCTGATTAAACTGATTAAGTGACAAAAAAATCCCATTGCTAGAAGAAATATTGTCAAAAGCTCAACACAGCTGTTTGTTTATAAGGAACACCATGAAACCGTTATTTTGGTTCTAAAAAAATCTTTTTTTCCTATTGAAAAGGACCGATTCTTTCTACATTTTGGGAATGTTTGTGTTTAGTCTGTGGTCAAAAGCTCCTTTTATTGCAATATTCTCATAGAGAGCTCTTCTGCCTAGTAGGTCTTTCGGCAGACAAGGTTGCTGTAGCTTGGTGTGGTGGCGCGGTGTATGTGGCAGCCGATTCTGAGAGTGGGTGGGCTCCAAGAGCTTGTGAAGGGCTTGGCAGCAGTCTCTAACTACAGTACATGCGCAGTGAAGCTGGCTGACAAATTCACTGAGGCACACACATCATGGTTGTGTTTGAATCCCCCCAGCTACTCCCTTGATTTGTTTCTGTTTCAGGGTGTTTATTAAGTGTTTTGATAATCAAAAGAGGATGGAAAATATTACTTTTGTCAAGGCTAAGTTTCAAGTTCACATTTAGTAGAACAGCCGTCCAGTGTAACAACAGAAAAGTAGAGGGGTTCTGGCTAAGAAGGTAAAAACTGATTGTGTGACGATGACCTCTTGAGGCTAGCTATCCCTGGGAGTCTCTGGGGGGCGCGGCCGCTAAGCTTAGCTCCTGACAGGTGGGGGGTCTGAGTGCACCAGGGTAGCTGTCGGAAAAAAAAAAAAGGCCTGGAAGCCCACTTCCAAAAACCAGCCACTGAGAATCCAGTGGGGCACAGGTCTCGTATGACACATTTGGGATCACCAGGAGCCAAAACTGACAACCAGTATTAACGTGGTAGCTAATCTAATAGGGGAAATGCTTCTATCTGGAACAAAATAACTAGAACATACCAAGATGGCTTATAGAGAAATGAATGATTTGGATTTTCATGAAAAGGTGGGTTTCTTGCACAGGCACTCTTGTATTTAAACAAGAACATCTAACCTCATGACAGCATCGATGAATGAATCTTCCTACAATCCTGGCTGAACACATCAATTGTATGTCAATGTCTGCACAATATCAAACGCAACCCACTGCTGTTGAGTGGGTTCCAGCTCCCAGAGAAGACCCGGAGCGAGCAGAATCTCCCCATAGGGCTTCCAAGGGAAGCAGATTGCCACACCTTTCCCTGCAGCACCAAGTGAGTTGAAATCACAAACCTCTTCAGTTAGTTGTGGAATGCTACCACACCACAAGGGCTCTGCGGTGCAATACGAGGGACTACTAATCCCAACCATAATCAAGCCAACTCTGCTGACAGAAAAGCAGTCAACGAGGGACCAAAAGTGAAGCTTTTCTGTTTACTGCTCAAATCCTTAGCTTTTCCACCCAAGGGAGTAGTAGGATTTCAGGAGGTTTAAAAGAGTTTAGATTGTAACTCATTAAATAGCTCCGAAACAGTAAATAAACTGATAACGTAAAAACACATGAAAACTGATTAGAGGAAAGTCTACATCCTCATGCACAGAAAAACACCTAAATGCTAAAAATTAAAAAGCAATTCAACGTAAGTCTCTCTAAAATTCCAGGTTGCTCAAAAAAGTTCATTTGGAAAGAAATCCCTCATTTTTTTGGACTTAGTTTCAAAACTATACCCACTTCCATCCTTCAGTTTTCCCTTTCACCCTAAAAATAAATCAAGTGATTTTACAGTATTCACAGTACTTTTGAAATCTTATGTTAAAAGTCTTTCTGAAAAACAAAAAAATGAATAAAATGTGTATGAATTATTAAGTATAAAACCGATGATCTACTCTGTAAAACTTCACCAAACTCCCCAAAAGTTAAAATGACTGACAACTACACTCACCCATTTCTATACCAAAAGGTTTTCTAAGATCTATTTTAAGAACCTTGCTCTACTCTTTTCAAAGCTAGCAGCTGAGTTCTGGTTAATAAGAGACTACTTGCTTAGTTTGTCAACTATATATTTTCAAATACGGTACAACCATTCCCAAATTCTCTATAATTTACTCTCATATTTGAAGGCTGTTGTTGGAGCCCTGATAATGCTACGTACAAGGTCAGGGGTTCAAATCTATCAGCTGCTCCATGGGAGAAAGATAAGGCTACCTGTACTTTTAAGGATTCATGGTCTTAGAACCCCAATGTGTGTCAGAATTCACTTGAGCAGTGGTGTTTGTTTGATGATTAGTTTAACAGTACTGTGTTTTGCCAAAATGGTGTCATGTTTGGCACTGTTATGCATGAAAGAGGACTTATAGGGCAGAAAGAAAGATGAGGATTACCTAATCCTTCCTTATACGAGGCATTCTGGAGAGAAACCCCACCCATGACCTTTTTTATGTCTTAGGAAAGGTTCAGAAAAGGATCGCAGCGTTTCATAAAGCATGTACAATTCCTTTTTTCAATTTAAAACAGCCAAGAGAAACCGAATGTAGCCCTTGTTCCCTTTCAACTCTTCAGTAACTTAGTGCCTTTTTTGGATCACACCAACATAAAAACTAGAGCTCCTGAATGTACCACTTGCCATAGTAAAGGTCTGAACTCATAGGAGAGGGGATTCAAATTGGAATAAAAGATAATGGGATTTTCCCACAAAAATTTTGAAGGCCCCCCATAAAATAAAAATGATAGCCTTTCACATTTTAAGAATCCTTGGTGGTACAGTGGGTTCAAGACTGCAAAGTTGATAGTCCAAGCCTAGCCGCACATCATGGGCGAGAGCTGAGGCCGTCTGCTCCTGGGAAAACGACCATTGTGAAACACTGTCCTCCTGGGTCACCGTGAGCCGGAGCTGACTTGATGACCGTGAGCTAACATGGGGAAATCTGGAGGCCTAGTTCTAGTATACACCATTTTAAAAGTTATTGAAAAAGTCAAATGGTCATGGATAAGACATCCCTTTGTTACTGAGTAATAACTCTCAACCAGGATTTAAAAACAAAAGCAAAAAACATAACCCAGGGATTCTCACTCTGTGGGTCTGGGCTAGGACCTCAACTGGCTTATTTATTTATTTTCTAAAATTCTCCAACAATAATTCTAACAGATACTCTCTATCACAGCTGAGAACAACTGCTGTAAGGGGAAGGCAGGGTCGCCCTGAGGACCTGGCTCAGTGTGGCCTTTAGATAAGCAGCACTGACAACACCCGGAGTTTGCTACACATGCAGAATTGAGGGCAAGAATTTGCACTTTTAACAATGTGTGATTTAAAAGCAAAATTAAGCCAAGAAATACTGATGTCGAATGTATTCTTATGCCATTTTTAAAGCATTGAAACTTAAAAGAAAAGCAGCATCTTATATCGAACGCTTCTACTAAATAAAAGAACATAAACTGAGAAGGCAGGTGAGCTCTGAATCACATCCACTAAGACTGTGTGTTTTTTGGTTTTTGTTTGGGCAAGGCCCTAAGTCTTTATTGGGAGGTACAGCCACCCACCTGCAGTCACTGCAGATGGTAGGCACACTCAGTGTCTGGGTAAGAGGGCAGGTTCAACTGATATTTCTTTTCCAGAGCAGGCGGCACAAAACGGCCCCCCAGACAGTGGTAGCGACCAGTAAAGTGGGCAGCAGACTTCTTGGGGACCGTGAGGGAGATGAGCAAGTCTGGCTGGAGCCCTTCTGCGTTTCCCTTCTCCACATCCCATCCTGAGGGAATGTCGATGCTGGCAATGGGCACAGTGACTCCACCCAGGACTTTCAGGATGCTCTGGAATGGCTCCCGAACATCCCCTTTGAAGCTGAAACCAAAGATGGCATCCACGACCAGCTCACAGAGCTCATCAATCAGCATGGGCTCCAAGGGCAGGTCGCTGAGGAAAGGGATGTCCATTTTCTGGCACTGGGTCACGAGCGCGGTGAAGAGTGGCTTGTTGGGCCTTTTGGGGTAGTAGATGGTTGGCTGGTAGCCAAAGAGCTTGAGGTGCCGAGCACAGACCAGGCCATCGCCTCCATTATTGCCCGGGCCGCAGATGACCAGGACAGTGGGAGGGCTCCTGGACATGGACGTGGGGGGATAGACCTTGCCGATGGCCACGGCACAGCTCAGCCCGGCCAGCTCCATGAGCTGATCCACGCTGAACTGGTACTCGTTTAACAGCTCCTGGTCCACCACCTGGGCCTCCTCCTGGCTGCGGGAAGCCTCGGGACGCCATCGCCCAGGTGCCGCGGCATCCCTGCCCCGTCCCCCAAGACTGTTTTAAGCAGTGGCATGCA